TTCTCCTTCAAATTCTTTCTTGTCAACATTATAATCATCAGCTAATTTGTTATTTATAATATCAGTTATAATATCAATTGTCTTTTTAGACAAAGTTGTAATTCTATTTGTGCTCTTCAGTTCTTTTCGTAAGTATTTGACCCAATCATTGGTCACTAATTCTTTAATTAATACTTTTCCATCAATCGTATAAATTATTTTATCCGATCGAATTATATATGGTTTTTGAATTTGGATTTGAATCCTTTCAAAAAGCTTACTCGCACTGGTTGGATTTTTGAGGTTATAAGGGTCCATTAAATTATATTGCTTTCCTGAAATATATAATAATCTTTCTCCTTTTTTAGAAGCAATCAAGTGAAATCTATCAATTTCCAATATTGTAATAACTAAAAATAAAAAAAATCAAAATTTAACATAAAATAATCTAAAAAAAATTTAGATGGTATTTTATTCTTCAAACAAAAACTTACAGGATGATAGATTCATTCCAGTTTTTGTGGAAAAACTGTATAAATATGTGATCTTAGCTTTTTCGTTTCTTGCACATACTAATAATAATTCTTCATCATCGCTAATTTCTATAGATTTAGGTGTAAAATTCCAATCTATTAAAACACGAGTTTTGATCGATAATTTTTCAATGTCCCACACCGCGAGTTCATAAATTGTATCATTAAATATGATCAATTTGCCTTTAGGTTTAATATAAATTGTTTTAAAGTATTTCAATTCGATCATTGATTTACAAACCCAGCTAATATTATCTTTACTTGAAAAAACATATGCTCTGTAATATTTAGTATTGACCATAATAATATTTCCGTTATGAATAAAGGATAAGAAATCAATTTCCTTTTGCCAATCTGGAAATTTTAATGTTACTTCCTTTCCCCTTTCAAAATCGAAAATTTCTTAAAAAATGTGTAAAATATGATAAATGCAATTGGATTTACTGAAACGTCACTAATATTAATAATTTATGAATAACTTACTGAAATTGTAAGGATTAATTCTATTAAGACTGATTGAAACATATTTATTATCTGAAATTACAAATATTTTTTCACCGTTTTCTCCTATGTGAATATTGCCAATATGAATTGTTTTTTCATCCTCTAGTTCTTCCCCTTGACTATCAATAGACCAAAGGCTGATATTGCTATCTTCGTGCAATGCAGCAACATGTTTCAATTTAGGAGAGCAGACAACTTCCAAAATTTTTTTATTTGCTTCAATTGGAATTTTTACATGAGAATTATCTGATTTAGATGTCATTTTTAATTATCTTTAATAAATTTTTGATAGGAATAATGAAAATTTATGACGATAAGCAGGATAAATTTCAATAAAAAAATTCTAATCGTATTTGAAACATTTGAAGATTCAAACTAAGCCATAATATGTTTGTAAATATTTTAAAAATATTTGTGACAATGTAGTTTGATATGTTTTTTGCTTAAACATTCCAGCGTCTAACCAGTGACTTTGTGACGAAATTTTAAAGTCAATTGGAATCTTTATGTTATGTGTCAATCTCAATTTTTGCTATTTGTAAATTCAAAAAAATGTACATACGTTACTTTACAATCTGTAAGCCATTTATTTCTATCATCAAAAATGCTTTGCGAACAGATTCTAGACTTTAATAAACTTTTTGATAAAAATATATTTAGCGGGTGATGTCGTGGTGGCTTGAGTCGATTTGGACCAAATTGAGCGAGAATTTACCATTATAATTGACAGATATGACAACTGTAGCAGTTATGACAGTAATGATACATAGAGTGGAAATGATAGATGAGTCAGTAAAAGTTCTGTAACAGCAAAAATATATATAAAGACTCAATGTTTTGTCCAAAATAAATGAATAGTAATAGTAGTCCTCTTTGAATATTCTTTGGTTGTAACGTTGTTATCGTATTTCGTATATTTCCGTAATCACCGCAGTATTTTTTGTCACGGATGATTCTCGATTTTGATTGGCTAACGCCGTGATCTACAAAATTTTGGCCCGCATTACATAATTGTTTACATAATTTTTGGCCAGAATTGACTTTTTAACTTTTTCATTCCCAAAATGGAAATTTTTAGAGAAATAGGCCCGCACAATGGTAAAATTAGCCCAGGAATATTTTTCACTTAATGTGCGGCTGTGGTTTCATTAGTAAAATTTTGAGTAACTTTGGCCTAAATTATTGATCGTCGCTCTTAGCCAATCAAAATCAAGAGATCGTCGCTCATAGCCAATCAAAATCAAGAATCATCCGTGACAAAATTGGTGCGGCAGCTAGGTTCAATGTTATGCATATACTGGGTTCTAAAATAGGGATGATTTACGGCAGACGGCATGGCTAAATTTTCGCCACAGTCTCAAAATGTCACGTGTCTAAATTTTTTTGGTTACCGAAATTATTATTGGCTGCCGAAATTATAGTGGCTGCTTATATTATTATCGACTGCCGATATTATTATAGACTGTCGATATTATTATAGACTGTCGATATTATTATATTTAAAAGACTTTAATCCTATCAAAAGTTATTATTTCATTTATTCGCATTCACTTTATTGTCATATTTTACCAAAAACTTTTATTTAATATTTACGTTAAAAGATTGTTTTCAAGAGTATCACCTCGGTATTAAGAATTTTTCTATTAAAATTAATTACCCATTTGCTATAAAAATTATATTCCTCAAAAGTTAATAAAACTTGATACTTAGAATAATCGATAAATTTTAAATAAAATTATTACTTAATATGTACTGTAACTTGAGTCCCAAATAATTTCTTACGACTTACAAGTAACTGAATTTGATGTTTAATATTATTTTATAATTATTTCTTCCGAGAATTAACAATACATGCTATACGATTTCTCTAAAATAATTGGTCGAATTTATTTCGTTCTTAGCATCCTTAAAAAATAAAGTTAATATTACGTATGTAAGAACGTATTGTAGAGAATGTATCAAATATCGCGAAATTGCATGCTTATTAGATAGCTAATGCTCCAAATGAACTTAACTATATTAATTACACAATTTGTCAGCCAGAATTTGAGCAAGTTATGGCAAAAATTATGTGAATATGGTTGAGTTTGATGATAATTCTGAAAGGCAAAATCCTGTGTTTCCATTAGAGATGGGTTTCATGCGTGCGCATGATTGAGGAATCTTGCGCATTAATGCGCATTTTATCCTATGAAAACTTATCTCCTCTCGATCGTTTTTGCCTTTTTTTTATTATGCGATATCATGCGCATGAAACAATTCTTGCGCATTAATGCGCATGATATTATAAAATGTGCACTAGTTCCAATCCATTATCTATTTATACATTTGTCCATTAGATATTCGTAATCCGTTATCCGAAGTATCCTATCCAAATTTATCGGATATTTGATTATCCGAATATCTGTCGGATTATCCGGATAATTTGTTCTGTTTATCCGATATGGAGTATCCAGATAATTCAGATACGGATAAATGGATGCCGATTTGTCCGGATTGGCGATAATTAAGTTTCAGAATTTTGATCTAGACCCAAGATGAAGAGTTTGATTATGATTATGCTTCTGACTAATATCAACATATTCAATTTTAAGATTATTTAATCTAAAGATTAGTTTCGATACTCTCAAATCTCATCGCATTTATAATATTTAATTTTCGGCATTCAGATTATTTTAGACATCAAAAAATATTTAAGGAATACTAAAATATATTAGGCATCCTAAAATAATTTAGACACCCATGTATGGTTATGCCATGCGAATTAAGTGTAACGGTTATATAGAAATGGGTTCTTTCTTGAAGTAAAACCAGTTCAAATTATTTACTAGGAAACGGAAACCGTTGGAGTCCGGAGCCTAGATATTTAAATAATTTTCTTATTAGATTTTATATCTTGGTTTGGGTGAAATACTCTTTTTTGTAACTAGGAAACGGAAACCGTTATAAGGAGCTCACGCGAGATGTTTCTGCAAGTGATACAAATCAAGTGCAATAGGGAAAATTTGTTTGTTGTTATTTTGTGAATTTTGACCAGCATTAGGGTTAGGATTAGGGTTGGTATAAGGAACTTCGTATAGTAAAATTTGGCCATGAATTTTTTTTATTAGAGTTACCGGCGATTAAAAAGCCTTCGTGATCTACATATAAAAATTTCCTTTTTTAAATTTGTATCACTTGCAGAAATTGGTTGTGTTACACAAATATGTAAGTGGAGACAGACAGAAATTCAATGATATTCTTATTATGAATGCATCAGAAACAATACTTTTGAAGCATCAAAAACGCAACTTTTGTATCACTTTGCATAGAAATTGAGCGTCCTCCGCTACGCTCCGGACAATAAATTTTGACACGATGAAGGCCTATAAAATATATATAGCCTGATAAATAGAAAAGTTTAATAAGTGAGTCATATATATCATATGACCTTTTTATGATTAGATAAAATATATTAAACAATTGCGTAATACAATAATAAAAAATTGAGGATTATTTTTTTTAGTAAAACTTTCGCACCGATCCGGACATCAATACAGGGTCGAGTTATATTGTAATAGGTTAATGCAAAAAAGGATTCGCGACAATCCAATTTTTAAATATTTTGTTATTGCCATATGAGATGCGTGGAAGATTTCTATTGATTGATATTTTAATAAAATAAGAATTTTGGATTCTCGATCTACCAGCCGACCGGGATATGAAGCCGAAAATATAAATTTGTATGGCCTTATAAAGATCATATAAGCCATTTAAGATCAACCGGTCTCAAAATGAATCACATCAGCATAATTCTAAATGGATTGTTTTGAGACTGGACTGAACGATGGATGCATCTCTGCTTGTTATATAAACTTTGATTTCAAGTTTTTCTGATTCTTAATAAAAAATATAAACACAAATAACTATTACGTATCAATACGCATTGATAACACATTAATAAAACAATTCATCATGAGAAAGATTCTTTTGAGTGTGCATCTCATGGTGCTCCTCTTCATTCTCGTCGATACATACAACATCAACCACGAAAGAAGACAAAATTGGAGAGGAGGACAGGGTGCAAAATGTGATTCAGATGACGACTGTGTTTGTCCTTTTATTTGCCGTTTTGGTGGTGAGGATACATATAAATGCCAAATAACTGATACACGAGGTTATGATGAAGCTTGTGGTTTTTGTAATTTCGACATTGTCGGTCAACGTATTGGAACTACAACAAAAGAAGTAAGTGCAAAAGAAAGTGCAAAAGGAAAGAAAAAGAAAATCTAATTTTTTCTTCTACTTAGACGGTTGAAATAGTTCCAGCTAAATATAGAATGAAAAACCGTGCTTGCAAAGAAGGTTTAAAATGTGCTCCTGGTAATGATGTTTCATTTATTTGTGTCAATACACTAGATATCGGAGCGGAATGTGATAGCGATGATAGATGCCTTAGCGGAATCTGTCGCATGTACGGTGAAGGTGCAAATACATGTCAAAAAAATGATACGCGAAAACTCGGAGAGTCTTGTTATAATGATTTCGCGTGTGCTGCCGGAGATGGTAATGAAAACATATTTTGTGGAAGTGATTTAAATAGTGGTAAAGGACTTTGTTGTGACGATTACGAAAAGTGTAGAACAAAAAAATTTCCCGATAGAACAGAGTTATGAGTTGTTCACAGTACATTCTTTGCTAAATCTTACATTTTTATGCAAGCATAATGTTCGAATTTTTATGAACCTATAAAAGAAGTACATTAGATTATTATCAAGCTCATTCATTGTGCTAGTATGAAACTAATAAATGAATAATTTAGAAATCTAACAACATCAAATAAGGCTTGTTATGATGAATATTTTAGTCTAATAAAAGCATTTATTAATGAAAAATTAAAAAAATATTTTTTGTTCACTAATGATATAATTTGCAGTTTATTTCAATATATAAATAATACAAAGCCTACTATGAACATGCAGTCAAACTTCAGTTATATTCACCCTTTTGTCCAAGAGGTTTTGGAGATAACTTATGTAGAGATATAACTTAATTGGCAATTTACAAATGAAGAATTTGTATTAATAAAATACATTCCACTTAATATAAATTTACATATAAAATATTTTTTAAGAATGAGGCCTGGCCTCAGTCTTTATTGAATAATGTAATTATGTATTACGTTGTTTGGAATGAATTACACGAATTATTACAGAAACCACAGCTAGGACTAGTTTATCCTCAGCTTAAAGCTTTAGGGAAGTGTCATTTATCATCTGATTTTTTGTAAATAGTAAATATTACCCCCATACATGATAAATGATAATCAATAAGTGTATAGTTCCACATCGATACGGGATTAGGTCGATCCAGGATTGGTGCCTTTATTCGTGGATCGTGAAATGAAATAGCTCATTTTAGAATCGGTATTCATTTACTGCTTAAAAAAAAATGAACAAAATAAATTTAAGCAAAACGAATAAAAATAAATTATTATATGCTTTATTAACGTTAATTGATAGATAAATTTTCATACATTAAATGAAAAATAATTAAAATAAATTAAATTTATGAATAAAAAGCGAATAAAAATGATTAGATGTTCGCCTAACGTTAATTGCTAGCTAAATTTTATACATTAAACAAATACAATTAAGCATTAATATATAATTTAACTATGTAAATAAAGGTTTTTGTATTTCTTACATGAACACATTCGCATTTTCTTTAGCATAATGAATTTTTTTTATGCAAGAACATGATTAGGTGCCACAATTTGTTTTTCGGCAACGACAGATTTTATCGGGTGTCTTGAACCAATATTATTATTCGTATACTAATGGTACAAAAATTATATAATTAATATTAATAATGATAAGGCCAGACCAAGTTCATTCTCTGTTTTACATTACCCCCACAGAGTTCCCCCCTCTCCCTCATAGTAAAAAAATTTAGACAAATATATATAGGACTTTGGCTATTTCGGAAAGTTTTTATATAGTCACGGAACAATTCGGAAAAATTTTTTTTAAAAAAATTCTTTTTAAAATTTTACTATGTAAACCACCCCTCCTCCCCCCTCCTCCGGAGGGTAATGTAAAACAGAGAATCAACTTGGTCTGGCCTAGTACTATGATTATTGTTTTTTTTTTTTATTACTTACTCAAGAAACGTATTTGGCAGGTACTCACTAATACTAAGAGCTTGTTCATCTTGAAAATTATAGGTTGGACTTTGTGATTATTATTAGTGGATCTTCTATTGTTATAAGTTGGACGTGAAGGTTTTGTCTTGCACCTGCCTCTCTTAATGAGAGTATGTTATTTAGTGGTATAGCGTTGAGTTCAGGATAATCAGGGGTACCCAGTGGTTCAAGTTAATTTGATGAGTACCAATTGCCGAGGAACCCAAATTTACAAGTGACTTGCTAAGAATCATGGTTAGATATCCTTGAAGGACCTGCATGGTAGATATCTTCGATCTATCTTTAATTTATCGATGGTGGGAATGCGAATTTTCACTAAATCACCAGGTTCGTATGTTCAAATTCATTTTATTTAGCATTTAAAAGAGCTGATAGTATCGAACTAATGAAATTTAAATTTTGTTTAATATAAACTTATTTATTAAAGTTAATATAACACACATACTTGAACGTGATTCAGAAATAATAAGGCGCATTGGTGGAACTCTTTTAGAAATATGTCGAGTAATACACACTTTGTATTTATTAATCATGTTCTTAACAAACTGCTGGAGAGTATAGCAGTATCTAATCTGAATTTAATAAAAAGGTTATTATTGTTGTTATTTTTATTTTTAAAAAATAAACATATAATTAATTTTTTTTCAGTTTTTTTCATAGTCACCGTGCTCAGTTGCCTGGTGGCAGCACAAATTACTTCGTAAAAATTTTCAATGTAACTAACTTGTGTCCTCGACTTATTCTTACCTTGTATAAGCAGATGCAGTTCCTCTGTTTCACAAATACGGTAAACTTTAAAGTATTAACCGCCCAATATTTGAACTCCGCATTACACTGAAGGTCTGGATTTTTTAGTACATTTAAACATTCATTATAGCGACTTCTATCCAACAAGCTTCGCATGTTTTTTCTTTTGTTAATGAATGTCTCTAATATTCAGTTAAAGGTTTCACAGGTCATAAAATTATATTATTGCGAATCCATAAGTTTGAAGAAAATATGTAATAAAAGCGATAACAATCGATTCAACTATAATGAATAAAAAAAAAATAAAGTATATGATAATAAACTAATTGTAAAAGTCAATGTAAAATTAATGTAAATATCAATATAAATATCAATGTAAATATTTATTATTATTATCATTATTGACAGTTAATAAATTAAATCAGTAGTTTATTACATTGCTAAACGATCTGGGTCATGATCTGCATGACAAATCGACCTGGGCCATTTTCATGGTCGGTGGAAATCAGGAAATGACAGGTGCCAATCCCAAATCGACTTAAAACCGTATCGACGTGGAACATGTATGCATGTACGTTGTGAAGGGGTAGATCATTGCTTGTAATGGGTTTTTCTATATTTGGTGGATCGGATACATATCTGGCTTAGCAAACTTGGCGCGCATCTTGAACATTTTGTACATAGTGTACATAAGAAACATAGTGAACATAGTGAACATGTTCCATATAGTGTACATAAGGAACATAGTGAACATGTTCCACATAGTGAATATAGCGAACATATGCAGCATAGTCAACATAGTGAACATGGTGGACATGTTGAACATAGTTAATATAGTGAATATATTCATTATGAACTTGTAAGCATGTAAAAGATATAAAAGACTCACCTCTTCGCTTGAATAAAGACTAACTCAGTTGAGTTCAAAGCTCTAAGTTAAAGAAATCAGAGTATTTGATTTATTATTCACCCTAATAGTGTTAAACTCAGTGGAGTTCAAAGTTCTAAGTCAAAGCAATCAGAGTATTTGACTTGTGATTCACTATTATAGTATACAACTCAGTGGAGTTCAAAAGTTCTACGTTAAAGAAATCAGAGTATTTAACTTGTGATTCACTTGTGTAGTGTAAAACTCTTGGAGTTCAAAAGTCTTGAAATAACTCAGTTGGAGTTTAATATTAGTAAAGTGTTGTTTTACTAATTCCCCTCAATAAATAAATTCTGCATTGACAGAAGGAATTCATGACCAAATCCCGTGACTTTGTGTAAAGGAATTCGTGACATAATCAAGAGCTCTAATCTGACACTATTGCTAAGAACCCAATTCACCCTAGTTATTTGGACCAAGTCTTTCCACGCCTCGATTATTGCCTTACCAATATTAGGGTTTGGTTGTATTAGTTGTTAGTATTGTGTAGTAGTGTTATCGGCATTATCTAGAACCAGAAAATTATTTTGCCTTTTACATTTGGTGGTGACTATGAGATTGAACTTTTCTACCCCAAATTATAATTATTATTACAAAAACAAACCAACCAAATCACTTATTTACCTACAAAAAGAAGTTGAACAAATAACCTTTATAGAATAAAAGGCTTATACTATAACCTCTGAGAAAAAATGTATAGTTATAAGGCGAAGCCTGTCAATATAGTGTCCAAAGTCAAAACAAAGGTGTAAGAAGCTGAGGTGTTTATAGTTACCCTATTAGAAGATTTCCACAAAAAGAAGCACAATAATCCTGATAACAAAACCCACTGCATTAAGAAAAACTTCAACCCGATATCGAACCCAAAAAGAATAATAGAAAAACAATCAGATATTATCAAAAATCAGTTAAAAGTGAACTTGATGTGGGTATGAATGATGCTGATAAACCAATAGTCTTGATGATCACAAAGAATTTAGTAGTTTCCAAGATTCTGCTGTTGTAGATTATGCTAATGAAAGAACTAACCTTAAATTTTGCACTTGAAATGGAATCACTGTCGAAAAATATGAAACAGATACACTGACCAATAGAATTGGAGTTGAGCTGAATGAACCTAAGAAATTTGATGTTTTTCAAGAATCGGCTAGTGCAGATTGACCTAATGAAGAAAATAACATTAAAACCTGCTATCAAGATGGAATTGATATCAAAAAGAATGATCATAATTCATTCATCTATTATCGAATAACTGCAAATATGGTTGATATTAATGAAACATATCCAGTTGTTTTCTGCTATAAGAATGAAGTCAGTGCTAAAAAAGATGAAAATAAAGTGTCTGGATGGTATTCAAAATCTATAAAAGACAGCGATTCAAAAAGACAAAGTAACTCTAGATGCTGCTACCAAAAGGGCATAGAAACTAATAATGATGAAAATACAGCAATTAAATGAAATAGAAAACTCCTGAAGAAGCCCAAAAGGCCGATATGTTAATATAATAGAAGAAAAGCATGTTTACAGCAAAAAAATATGATACTTGTCAAGCTTGTAGAATATAAAAAATTAAGCAAGCAAAGACATTAAAAAAATTTTTTTTTTTTAATGTTAAGGTGACCACTTTGGGGTCTGGCATGTTTTATTGAACTTTGGATCGAATGCTAGGGTAAACACAAGGGCTACTCCTGACTTTGTTACATTAACGAGGATACATTCTAGCCATATATACAACTTTTGGTTGTCTATTTAAGCAGTCTTGCATATGTAACACATATGAACTACACTAGATGTCGTATCTGTAACCCACTATTACTTGAGTTACCTAATTAAACCCTCTGATCAACTTAGCGGCATTGGGATATTCTCCTCAAAGAGGAACTGCCTTGTAAACCCCTTAGGACTTTAAAGCGGACACACACACTACCATATGGGGGGTCCTTAATCCTTGTGATAAACCTACCAGAGCGGTCCATGTCCCACATATGTATCACCTAAATTTTCAGTAACTTACACCTAGGCTGCGGCCAAGTACTTGCGGCTTTTTATCTCCACTACCATTACCTACTCTGTGCCTTTGCAAAGTTTACCCAAACCCCAGCACCCACTTTACGGACTATCAACAGTACTTCGATGCCAACCGTCAGCTCCCTAAACTTCTAATCCAGATGGCTCAGGAGGGACCAGTAGGCATCCCTTGGTATTCTGAATAAATCCTTTTTCCTCTGGTTAATCTGGCAGCCTGGTTAGTGTAGTACTTGCCAAACACTCGGTTTTCGTTCAGTTTGCCTTCGGTGTCTGGTTCCCCAGATGATAATCCTTTATGTAGCGCTGTCAAAGATCTGTACTACCTCTCTACTCAGAACTTCCCAAGCAGGCTTCTGTATCACCTGATCCCTTGGATTTATTTGGCTGCCTCACTCGGGTTTTGTGTAACTTATACATTATACTACGTTTTAAAACCTTCCAATACAAGTTGGTAAAACCAAGGTTACAGGTGCTGACCCGATCGACATATTATACAGTTTTACCGTAATGCATTTCCGCAAATTTGAATTTCGTCACTGGTAGAATTCGAACTCTTGTCATGTCGCTTAGGGGTGCGACAACTTACCAACTACATTAAGTCGCTACATCCAAAGACATTAAAAATTAAAATATAATGGTGCGATAAAACAATATAGAGATTGGTTTCACATTTATACTCACCCAATGATTGGAATCACCTCACCACCCAAGCATTAAATTTTTGTAGTGCTTATATCTCCTTCATTTTAATGAATACAATTTAGTAGCTAATAGTCTTTACAAACTATCCCTATTACAAGACGGGATGATTGATAGGGCACAGCAAGAAATTATTAAACAAAAACTTTGAGAAAATTTGCAATAGACCCTGGGACTGAATAGAAACTTGTTAGTAATGAAAATGCATACCAATTTATAAAAAGCTTGGCATAATAAAAAAAAATATAAAAAAAATAAAAGTTAAAAAAAAACCTATAAGATTAAGGATATAACAAGGATATTGGTTGGTTATAACTTTTATATACGAGGTGGTGCATTAAGAAAAAAAAGATGTAACAAGTATCCTGGTTGATTATGACTTCTATATACAAAGTGAGTTATATAGGACAAAAAATATTCATCTTGATGTACAAAAAAAATATTAATTTTGAAAATAATACTTGTATAAGTCATGAAAAATAGCTCATAAATAAGTACTATGCAAGACAAGCAAAGGAATTAACTAGTATTTCAGCATTTGATATGGTATTTTTACTAGAATATATGAAGTTGGTTATTGATTTCAAAACAGAATCAGAATTAAAAAGAATAAACCTAAAGCATGTGCGAAAAACAATTTACTCAAAGCTTAGATTCTAGTATAGAAGTCTGATATTAAATCTCAATTCTATATAAAAAGTTGACAGCCTAGTATGAAAATAATCAAAAAAGCTTTTATTTTAGTTTATTTTATTCTATTTTATTTCTTCTCTTTTTTGTATTAGTATATTATTCTGTTATTTTTGGTTGTTAGTTTTTTTGTATTAGTTTTTTTCTTGTAGAACTTGAAAATGAGGTTGGGAGTATGTAAAGAGGTAGATTATTGCTTGTAATAGGTTTTCTATATTTAGTGAATCAGATACATATCTGGTTTAGCAAACTTGATATACATCTTGAATATTTTGTACATAGTGCATATAAGAAACATAGTACATATTCTATATAGTATATATAAGAAACATAGTAAACATATTCCATATAGTGAATATAGCGAATATATGCAACATAGTCTACATAGTAAACATGGTGGATATGTTAAACATAGTTAATATAGTAAATATAGTTATTATGAATTTGTAATCATATAAAAGATATAAAAGCTCATCTCTTTACTTGAATAAAAACTAACTTGGTTGAGTTCAAAGCTTTAAGTTAAAGAAATCAGAGTATTTGACTTATGATTCACTCTAATAGTGTAAAACTCAGTGAAGTTTAAAGTTTTAAGTTAAAGAAATTAGAGTATTTAACTTGTAATTTACTCTTATAGTATACAACTCAGTAGAGTTCAAAAGTTCTATGTTAAAGAAATTAAAGTATTTAACTTGTAATTCACTTGTATAGTATGAAACTCTTGGAGTTCAAGAGTCTTAAAATAACTCAGTTGAAGTTTAATATTAGTAAAGTGTTGTCTTACTAATTCCTACCCTGATAAATAAATTATACATTAATAGAAGGAATTTGTGACCAAATCCTGTGACTTTGTATAAAGGAATTCGTGATATAATTAAGAGCTCTAATCTGATAATATCACTAAGAACCCAATTTACCCTAGTTACTCAGATCAAGTCTTTTTACACCTCGATTGTTGTCTTACCAATATTAAGATTTGGTTGTATTAGTTATAGCATGCTAGTTAGAGTAGTTTAGTTTAATTAATATTGTGTAGTAGTGTTATTAGCATTATCTAGAACTAGAAGATTATTCTGTCTTTTACAACATATATATATGATACTTTATTAGGACTCCTTTCTCAAAAAAATCAGATGATAAATGATACTTCCCTTATTAGAGTGGGTTATTTGGGGCTTTACTTATTTATGCTGGTAA